CAGGGGGCAGATGCTCAAAGCAGTCCCTCCCCCGCAGTCCCTCCCCCCGGCAGGCCGGCCCCAATCAGCCCCAATCAGGACTGGGAGAGATGGCCCTGATCGGCCCCAATCGCCGGCCAGGCTGAGTAACCCCACCCATGCACGAATTCATGCACCCAGCCTCTAGTAATTAATAAAATTATTTCTGCTTTTATTCCCCTTTCATATTCAAGTTTAGCAATGTTTGGCACACAGTAGACATTTAGTAAAAATGGGTTGCATGAATGTTTATCATACCTCGTAATTATTAATAGCATGGAAAAAATACAATTAGTTATTTGTTGTGAGAAAATAGGTTCATATAGGGGCAAAAATCAAATACTTTATATACATGTGCTTAGAAAAACTAAATATGAAAAGGAAGAGGAGAAGTAAAAGTTATTATATTATAGTTAATGATTTTTTATTGTCTTCATTGTTAGGCTATAATCTATAAAATATAGATTATCTATGTATATAAAAGCCTAAGCGACCCTTATGACCAGTCGACCAAACGACTGGTTGACTGGTTGCTATGATGCGCACTGACCAGCAGGGGGCAGATGCTCAAAGCAGTCCCTCCCCCGCAGTCCCTCCCCCCGGCAGGCCGGCCCCAATCAGCCCCAATCAGGACTGGGAGAGATGGCCCTGATCGGCCCCAATCGCCGGCCAGGCTGAGTAACCCCACCCATGCACGAATTCATGCACCCAGCCTCTAGTAATTAATAAAATTATTTCTGCTTTTATTCCCCTTTCATATTCAGGTTTAGCAATGTTTGGCACACAGTAGACATTTAGTAAAAATGGGTTGCATGAATGTTTATCATACCTCGTAATTATTAGTAGCATGGAAAAAATACAATTAGCTATTTGTTGTGAGAAAATAGGTTCATATAAGGGCAAAAATCAAATACTTTATATATATATATATATATGTGCTTAGAAAAACTAAATATGAAAAGGAAGAGGAGGAGTAAAAGTTCACATATTTATTTGTTTATTTTTAAATCTTGATTTCCCTAATATTCTGATCAGTGGCATTAGTGTGCACTTTAAAATATGGACTTACTAATTTAAATTTAAATTAACAGTCACGATGCACTGAGGAACAATTATTTTTAATTCAATGGCCTTCATAGATAAAGATGTGATTGTTATAGTATTGCATCTGTCTGTTGCTAGAGCTTACATTTTTACCATTAAATTATTTAATGTGATGATGTCATTTAAGTGATACCTATAATGAGAAAGCCTGCCATAACATATTCAATATCCCTCACAATCTCATGGATATTTAATACATAATTTAATCATACTAAGAATAACTTTCTATAAATGAGGTAGAATAGAATACTACTGTTTCATAAATATGGTAACCCATTCCCCTTTAGCAACTAAAAGATATTTTAGAGGAGAGAGAACATGAAAAAAGAGAGATCAAGGATACCCAATGTCATCTTATGTAGATTTTGGCTGATAGTAGCAAGTGAAAGCTAAATCTCAATACTTTTTATTTTTTATATTATCCAAGGCTGGTCATTCCCGAGGACTGTCCCACTGAATCAGCATATGTACAGAGTTGGGAAAGCATAAGCATGGAATTAAGTATGTTATCTTGTAGTTATTTTAAGTATCTTCAAAACTACTTTAATGAACATCTGTGAAAAATATAAACTAAAACAGGATATTAATTTTTTCTTAAATCTTTATTCCTAAGAACTCAATTTCTTAATTGTGAACTAATTGTGTATTCTTTTCGAAGGCTTCAAAACTTCCAATGTCAATAATTATAGTTGGTGTTGGACCAGCAGAATTTGATGGTAAGTAATACAATTTCAATAGTATTCCTTGGGAGTTTATTTAATCTGAGTCATCATGCTCTTAAATTTCTATCACTCTTTTTAAAAATTTTGAATGTGAGTGTTCATGTAGATTTGCATATAATGTCCATGTACACTAGGCATAAATATAAATATCTCACCATGAAGTCTGTTTAGGTGAGCAAATTAAAATATTGTCTTCTGAGTAGAGCATTATCTTTCTAATATAGATTCATGCAACATGTATTTTTTCATTTTAGTAGAGATGGTTTGTACCTAAAGATAATATTTTTTAAAGACTTACAGAGTGATAAATTGAGTTTTTGTTCCCAAGGCAAATTACTCTCTGAGTTTCCTAAAAACCTTTAGGAATAAAAACTAAATTAATAAACCATTAGGTTGTGAATAGAAATGTTAACACAGCACAGTATGCTACGGGAATGCATTTTCAGACCCTGGCTAGTTGATAGACATTAGCTTTATAAACATGTAAGTTCTGTCATATGAAAACAGAATGAAAATGGAACTGACCATACAGCGGTTCTCAACCTGTGGGTCGTGATCCTTTTACAGGGGTCGCCTAAGACCATCAGAAAACACATATATAATTACATATTGTTTTTGTGATTAATCACTTTGCTTTAATTATGTTCAATTTGTAACAATGAAATTGGGGGTCACCACAACATGAGGAACTGTATTAAAGGGTCGTGGCATTAGGAAGGTTGAGAACCACTGAAAGGAGACTTTATATAATTATGCTAAATTGACTTACTGGGCGTTTTGTTTGGGCTTAGGCCTTGTTCAGATGCTAATTAAGTGACAGGTGTTTGTGTAACTCGTGATCTGGGCAAACTTCGTTCAGGATAGTCTGTTACTAGTTATCTGGTAAATTTCTTCAAGAGAACTTTATACTGGACAGCACCGGTATGACTTCTTAACATTTACCTGGTTCAGGTGTTTTAGATTAACAATAACACTTTCTTTAGCTTGGCATTTTGGAAATGAAAATAATTTTAGACTATTGGGAACAACCTCTGGTATGTTACAAGGTAATTTAGGCATATAGGTACTAATGTTAGTATGATTATCACTGGGTTGATTCTCTGTTAACCACCAGTGCCTTCTCTGTAAGGGTGGTATGGATCTGTCCATCTCAGGTAAAGAACCACAGGGAAAGTTATATTGGTGACTCCGAAAATTCCTTTCTTTCATTCTCTGCTTGGCTAGTCATCCTTTTCATCATTATAATCTTCCATTTTCTAAAGCAAAAGTCATTTAGTCTGATGGCTGCTGCTTCTGCTAATATTTTCTTGTCTCTGGGTATTTGCATCTGTTTGCATCATCTTTCAGGCATCAATATGACACATTTCTCTGGAGTCAGGAAACCTAAAACACATCTTTCTTCTTAATGCTTTGTACACTTGATTGTTTGCATTAATTAGTGATAGACCAAGATCCACAAACTTCACGCATTGCTAGGTTATAATAACCCATGCTTTTTTCTTCAGTCACTAATTTGCGTTTGCCTCTTAAGGATACACCTCTGATAGGGCACATCTCAGGTCTCCCAGACTCCCATGGAAGTCCTCCACTAGATGTCTGACCTCAGGGATGGTAAAGACCAGCACCTGTTCATCAACAACCCCCACACATAATGTTTGAATACAAAGCCACTGACCCTTCCTAGTCATATACCGTATTTCTACTTACTACACAAGACAGCTATTTGTTTTCTTCTTTTCTTTAGTTCCCAGTGAATTATTTATTAGGATTTGAGGTGTGGTAATTCATCATTAGCCTCTCTGACTTCCTGAAGTAAAAAAAAAAATAAAAAAAAAATGCAGGAAACAGACACTAGAATATAAGCTTTATTACTCGCACTGCAGAATTGGAGAATTTGGGTTAACCTGTGCACAGAGGCAGACTTCTCACTACCTTTCCCCCCCAAGATTAAATGACCTCACCCTTATCTCCAGGCCTACTCCATCCAGGGGCTAAGTCTTGCCTTTAAGCCTGCCCCAGAGAGGAATTGCCTTCACTCTGAGGATAGGCAGCTCCAAAAAAGAGAGGTTCAAGGTCAGTTTCTTCTAATAGTAATCCTATGAATCCTTCCTCTTTCCATGTGGAAAAGTGAATGAAGATTGTAGACAAAGAGGGAAGTTGCCTTTCCAGTAGAATTATATCCTGGGAATTAGATTGAAACTTTCCTCTGGGGAACATTTGAACAGGGAATTGGGGTCCTGCTCTCACCATGATGGAAGTTTAAATAGAGTGGAAAGTCTTCCAGGCCTAGTCCTAGAAAAGAAGGCTATTCCACCAGGAGACAGTAGATGCTTCTCTAAAGGATTTTTTTTTCTTTCCTTTCTTTGTTATGGGTGGGGCCACAACATTAGTAACAAAGAAACAGAATTTCCAGAGGATGAGGCCCAGAAATCAGGATTTTAAAAAGATTCCCAGGTGATTCTAATGTGCAGCCAAGGTTGAGAACCGCTGCTTTATAGGATCTCATTCTAGTTATTCAGTTATTGCCTGAATAACTGTCATTTTCTTTAATTAGTAAATTAGATAATAAAGGAGACGTTTTGGTGGCATGTCATCATCAATGTACATTTATGTCTCAAAGTAATATGAAAATTTTGAAAACAAACCTAAACCAAAAAGAGGAATTAGCTCTTGAAAATATTTGAGTATAATGAATTCTCTTATTAACATTCCTCATGAGTAGGAGAGGGAAAAAAAAGAGGCCTTTTTAAAATAAGTTAATTACCTTATACATTTTACGAAATCAAGACATATATTGTATATTTAAGCAAACTGAGTGGTGGCTGTCTGTCAGTTACGTGTGCTAGCAGTGCTTTAGCCCAGACACTGATTCATGAACATGTATAGAAAAAGTAAAATGTAAAACAATGTTTTTAACCCAAATGCATTATCCATGCACTAAAGAAGATAACAAAAGCCTGGCTGGTGTGGCTCAGTGGTTGAGTGTTGGCCTATGAATCAGGAGTCGCAGTTTGATTCCTGGTTAGGGCACATGCCCAAGTTGCAGGTTCGATTTCAGGTAGAGGGGCATGCAGGAGGCAGCTGATCAATGAGTCTTTGATGTTTCTATCTCTCTATCACCCTTCCTCTCTGAAATAAATAAAAAATATCTTTTAAAAATCTTTAAAAAATGGTGAGGATTGTATTCTGATTGAACAATGTTTTTTGGAGGGTTAGGAGGCAAACATAATTGCAAGTGGCTCTCTGTAGTCTAGTAAATGTCATGTATATACAAAATGAATTATCAGCAATAAAATTATACTTTTAGCACAAATTAGCATTCCTTATGTAATTAATTATTTAGAGAATTCTGGCTGAAAACCTAATAAACTCTGGAAAATGTTCTTAATTGCAGCATAACATTACTGTATCAGCAGATGAACCATTATATCACAGCATTCCCAAATACCCTCTGATCTTTGTGATGTTGAAATTCTCCTTTAACCAACAAAAAATCATGCCTCAGAAAAATCGTACTTTATCCAAGCAGTACAAGGGCAGAGCAAATGTCTCTTTATTGTTCAACCTATGTTTAAAGTGGGAATTGGGCAGTATGGATATATAGCTTTGTTATAGTTTTGATAAGAATGAAGTTCAGCCCAGCCTATGTGGCTTAGTGGTAGAGTATTGTCCCATTAACCAGGTGGTCACGGTCAATTCACAGTCAGGGCACATGCCCAGGCTGTGGGTTCAATCCCTAGTAGGGGGCGTGCAGGAAGCAGCCAGTCAATGATTCTCTCTCATCATTAATGCTTCTATCTCTCTCTCCGTCTCCCTTCATCTCTGAAATCAATAAAAATATATATTTTGAAAAAGAATAAAGTTCAAATTGTTATTGGAAATTCTATGATGACTAGCACCAAGCTTCTTAATTTAGAAAGAAAAACTAAAATGGAATGTTTTAGTATCACTTGCTCAAACAGTCCTGTAAGCACATGACCCCGGTTTGAGAACCCCTGGGATGGAGAGATGCACCTAATGACTGCTCTCTACTGCATTGGCTCTTCTCACCTGTCAAAGGGTCACCTGAGGTGCTGGCCTGTTTTCTTCATTTGTGAAATTTACCCTCAATCAAGTTCTGTGGGAGAAATGATTGAGAAGATGTAGGGAATCAACAGCTTTTTGACTTTATATAGGACGTTTTGCTACTTCATACATCTTGATTTCTGTATTGCCTACGTTGTTTTAGTATATGGCTAAAATACACTGGATAAATAATTCTTTTTTATTTTCAAGCAATGATTGAGTTGGATGGAGATGATGTAAGAGTTTCCTCCAGAGGAAAATATGCCGAAAGGGACATTGTGCAGGTAAGAAATTTAATGAAAATTATTTATTTTGTTCATAGTGAACAGCTCTTGTCAAATAAACAACTTTAAGTTGAAATGATGGGTGTCAGGTTCTGTTTAATTTAATTGGTGGGTTCTCTGTGAGATTCCTATTAAGTATTAGGGCCTAGAAAAAGCACCCATGCTTTCCCCTGGACTTTAGGTTCACAATATGTAAATAAATTATCAATAATTTATTTTATTACTATTTTATTATTACCTTCTTTATTATTACCAGAAAATAGTGAGAGTTTTAGTAAAATTAGAATCTAGAAACATAATGAACTTTTTAATAATGCTTATCTACTCATTTTTTAGTCTGCAACAAAGACTAAAAGTATTTTTAGACAGCTGATAGATATTTAGAGTAGATAAATTTAGTATAAATGAACCAAAAATGTAGATATTTTCATACTTTCTTTGTAGATTATGATTAGAAAGTGGGGAAATACATCTTAAAATTATGTATAAATATATAAATTATATGTAAATAATATATAACCATAAATAAATAACATGATATAATATATAACATAATAAAATATGATTCACAATTCTCTTAAAATTTTAAAAGAATACTTAACTAAAGCCTACTATTCAAGGAGTGGCTTGAATGAAAATAATTAGTAACCAATATAATTAAAATTTATAGTTGAAAACAAGGAGTTAATGCAACTAAAGTTCTGCATACGTTACAGCCTCCATATTTTTAGGGTGCCAGAAGAGAAAAAAGACTATGAAGTCTACCTTCTTAAATAGAAAAGGGAAGAAGGTGTCAGTACCATTGAAGCACATGACATGGAAGTTTGGGAGGAGCAAACAATGGACTTCAGCATTTTCTCTTAATTAATAAACTATATATTCACCCATAATACAGTCATTAAGAGAATCTAACTTGGAATTTGACAGAAATTGGTTCAAATCCTGGATTGTCCAACTATGATAACTTGGACAAGCTTTCTAAATTCAGTGAACTGGCATTGTTGTAACGATCAAATGAGAAAACATATATGAAATGCATTCCTGAAATAGTAAAATACAACAAAAAATGATTAAAATAATTTCAGGGAGAATATAACATAAAGTAATTTGTAAAAATTAATTGGCTAAATTTTAAAGAGCATTGTTCTTAGTCTGTCAGCAAAATTTAATTTTCAATGAGAAACATTTTTTAAGATAATTGAATATGACATATTTTTTAACCTAATGTTCTTAGTAGAGTAAAAAGCACACGTGTGCGCACACACACACATGAATGATGAGGTTAAAAGCAGCTAAGAAAGGGAACATGGTAATGTGGTCATCTATTTAAGAATCCCATGGTGTTTTGTTTTCATAATTAGACACATGATTATTCACCTGAACCTCATTAGCATAATTATAGGTTTAAGTAATTACACCTTATCTGAAAGCTTTCCACAATGTCTGGCTCACAGTTTCAAAAAATTAAATTACTAAAGTGAAGTATGAATTTGAAGTCCTTTAGAATGTGTTATGTTGCTGGTGTAATGCACTTTTACAAAGTTAGCAGAGGCAACCCCGTATCTCATACTGTTATCTAAATGATGCTTATGAGAAACTTGGTATTTCTTAAGATTGTCCATATTGTTGAGGTTTTCTTTAAAAGGGCTAATATCTTATGTTGGTGACAACCAGCAGTTCTTATTATAAATATAAAACAAAAATTCCCTTGAAAGTATTTAGTCTCTCAATGGATATCCTATATTGGACAGAATATTGCTATAGGACTCAAATCTATGAAGTTATATCGTGGGCACTCTGACCTTGAACAAGTCAATAAATCTCTTTAAGCTTTTGTTTCATTACCTCTAAACTCTAAATTCTTTCATCTTTGCCTTTCTTATGATGTTGTGACTCTCAGAGGAAGTAAAAGTCATGAAATACTTTGTTACTTATTAGTATAAGCTATATAGTATATATACACATACATATATATATGTGCAGATAATTATGTTTCCTCTGTTTGACACTCAGAATCCTTAAGACCAGACCACTACCATAAAATGATACTGAGATCCCCAAAGGTTTTGAAGGGACCTGGGGAAATTAGCTAAACATTCAAGAGATTTTACCCCATAAAGTTGAACTGAAAGAACTGTGAGATATTACAGATTCTGAACATGAAATTAAAATGTTACCAGACAATTAGCCTCCTGAGTGATGGTGAGATCTTGGCTTACATGCCTATAGTTCAGGAGATTTAATGTGTTTTTTTCAAATTTCATGCTGAAGTTTCTAAATGGTGATTGGTCTTTTAAAAATAGTAAGCAAGGTAAACATTTATGTATCTTATTGTATTTAAGAAGAATTAGAATCTTCTCTCTCTCCTTAAATAAGATTTTAAAAACATTCCAACAGTTATACAGCCTCTACCATCCACTAAAATATTTTTAGATGACTTATATTCAAGACTAGAAATTTCCTTGAGCTTTGTCCGGTTGCTCAGTGGTTAGATCTCAGTCCTCAGACAGAGTCTGGGGTTTGATTCCCACTCAAGGACACTTTAGTAGACAACCAATCTCTCTCTCTCTCTCTCTCTCTCTCTCTCTCTCTCTCTCCCTCCCCCCTCTCCTTCCCTCCCTTCCACTCTCTCTAAAAAACAAATCAATAAAAAACATATCCGTGGGTGAGGATAAATAAGTAAATAAATAAATAAAAAGACATTTTCTTGAATAGTTGGGGATATAGGAGTTACAAGGGCACACCAAGAATAATAATGCCAGTCCTCCCATCATCAGAAAATATCAAAGCCATCATAATGCTATAAACTCTGCTGGCTAAAATACTATCAGAAAATAGGGTCTATTTAGGCTCTCTTACCTTTTCACTACTTTCAAGATTTTTACATGTTGAGGCTAATTAAGTTAATGCACAGCAAACAAAAGCCCACATTTCTTAAATGGACAAAACCCTAAGGCTGCAAATAATAGTCGGCAGCTGAATTTCAGTAGCTAATTAGGGGTAATAGATAGGGTTTTCATTATATTGTCAAATCTTAAGTGGCACCCAACTTCATTCTAATTAATCATTTATTAAGTCCTTCATGTGCTAGGTAGGCTAAAAGCTATAGCATTACTTCACTCAGTCCTTAATTGACTTTGTGAGACAGGTACTTTGATTACCATATTTTTAAAAGAAGAAGTGAAGTTTAATTCCTCTTGTTCATAGTCACAAAGCCAGTAAGAACTGGAGTCACGATTTAATCTTAAGGTGTTTAATTCTAAAATTTTTAACAAATATTCTGTATAACTTTGATTCTAAATCCTAAATCCTAAACATAGCATTTAAGAGTCTCCATGCCCTGACTCCAATCTTCCTCTTTAGCTAAACACACACACACACACACACACACACACACACACACACACACACACTTTGTCTAAACAAATAGGACTATTAACTATCTTTGCATCACACATTTCTATTGTTCTTTCTCTTATTTTTTATTGTCACTTTATTGGAAAAATCTTCCTCCTCATTGGGCTGACTAAAATTCTACATTTTGAAATTTCCCAGTATACTGCCTTGTGTAATAGCCTATCTTCACACACTTGAACTAATTTCCCCACCTTTTTTCCCTACTTTTTTCACCTATCACTTTATATCTTCATAAAAATACTGGACAGTTTTTGCCTTGTAATAATTTATAAATAAGGAAACTGAAGCCCAAGATGGGGTGTTAAACAACTTACACAAAGCTGTTTAGATCATAAATTGGTAGATCCAAATTTTCAACAAAGTTCTGATTCCAATACCTGTGTTCTTTTTGTAATCAATACACCTACCCTGTAATGAAGATTATTAGGATCTGTTCTCCTTTTCATATTACTATCAGGGTTAAAAGAGTAAGATTAATTTGGGTTTAAATAATGACAGATATTTATAGCTTTCTGATGTTGGGTAAATTCATTAAACTGTCTAAGTTTCAGTTTCCTCTTCTGTAAGTTCAAAATATGGATAACATGCTTATAAAAATTAAATAGTGTAAGATCTCTTAGCAGAAGGCCTCCCACTGACCAGTTGCTCAATAAATGCATTAATATCAGTATCAGTTTTTATTATTAGTTAGTATGTTGGCATAATCCAGTCAGAAGGCAATTTAGGTCACTATTTCATAGTGGCTGGATCTTGACATATGACACTGTGGTCAGCCTTATGTGTGATTATATTCATTGTCTTGGTATTCAATCTCATATGACTATGGTATAAATAGTAAGCAAGATAAGATCCTATGGTTTTTATCCTAAAACTTAAATGAGTTATTTTCTTAAATTCTATGTATTCATTTGCTTGTTGGGCTATGGATTGGCCATTGTGTATGAAGCAATGTCATTTCTCTTGGTTGCCTACAGATGCTCACCAGCCTATCATTTCCTTAAAAATTATATTTAAATCATATTTTCCATTAAATGGAGAATAATAACCTTGAAGACTTATACTTGAAAATCACTAATGGAGCTCTGCACAGTAGGAACAATCTAGTAAAATTGAGCAGAACAGCAACTAAAAGCCCATTTACCCAAACTAATTTAAACTTGTTTTCATAAATAGTCAAAGCTGGCCATTAGAGCAGCTGTGAAAAAACATTTTCCTTAGAGTGGGTGGATGCTAAGAGAAAGATGTAGAGTATCAAGGACATAGTATATTTCTACAGAACAGAATGCATTTATTGGTATTCTTCTTATGAATGTGATAAATTAGTGCAAGTGAAAATTGATTTATTCCTCTAACCCAAGCATTTTAAGGGTCCAAGTTAATTTGTGATAATAGTCAACGATCTCCATTCACAAATGTGTGAGCATTATTCTGAAGAGGAGGTCCCCAAGTATGGTGATCAGAAATGAGTGATTAAAAGAGATTATAAACAGAGTGGTCTGAGATGTTAAGGGGAAAGTTGTGACTGTAGAAGGGTTTGAGCAATAGTTTAAGTAAAAGGGCATATATTTTTCATGAAAACTGTAAGATCGAACATTAGTACCAAGTAGAGGAAATGAAGAGTGACTTGTCATTTTTCATTTCTCAGGAGAGTACTTCCTGACATGACTGAGTTGATGAATGTCTCTTTGGAAAAGGTTTAGATAATCTAGGTTATGAGTAGAAAGTTCTCAACATTTTTTTCCTACACCCAACACACATGAGACCCAACTTGCTATTACAGTGATTTTCAATCTGGGGCAGTCCCTTAATACTCAAGGCATATTTGTGCCGCCACCTAACAAGCATGTTAAATGTGATATATATGTATATATTATTATCTGTTATTTACAAAAGTATTTTTATATAAATATAACTGTATACATTGTGAGAACAATGATCATGGTTCTTAGTTTTGATATTCCAGAATATTGTAACATTCTTAAGAATACATTTTAATTTAATAAAAAGTTTAACACATCTTATAGCATTTTCTGGAAAGGTGAAACAACAGGTGTTTGGGTGTGTGTGCATTTTTTCAAATTATAAGAGGAAGTTTATTTAGAAAGTTACAGAGGTAGTAGAAGTAAGCCAGCTGGGCTGCGTAGGCCCAGGAAACAAGTTATAAAAGCAAAGGAAGGGCCCCTGGAGCTTAGGAGAGGGAAGGGAAAGGCAACGCAGAGGGTACGGGGGAAGGTGATGGGGAGAAGAAGGGGAAGGGGAAGAGAAAGGCCCGAGTATGTTCCAGAGACAGAGAGTGCAAACTGGGTCCTTCATCTTGAAGGTTTTTTAACAGGTGTTTTAAAATTACAAAAAGACCATGAATTACTATTTTAGATTACAATACTGATATTGTACTTAAGTCTGAAAGAGATCAAATTAATAAGAATGTAAATATAAAACTTTTTTAAAATATATATTTCTTTATTGATTTCAGAGAGGAAGGGAGAGGGAGAGAGAGATAGAAACATCAATGATGAGAGAGAATCATTGATCGGCTGCCTCCTGCACGCCCCGCACTGGGGATCAAGCCCGCAACCCAGGCATGTGCCCTTGGCCAGAATCGAACCTGGGACCCCTCAGTCCGCAGGCCGACGCTCCATCCACTGAACCAAACCAGCTAGGGCATAAATATAAAACTTTTAAGAAGATAGTTTTATATTTATATTGAACATGTAATTAAATATAAATTGATGAGTAATAATGATAATAATAACTATTATATATAGTACATATTATGAGTTAAATATGGTTTTAAGCACTTTACATGGTAACTTACTTATATAATAACCTAATAAATAGGTATTATTATTATACTCATTTTATAAAAGAGGAAACCAAGGCAAAGAGTGAAAAATAACTTGTCCAAGTTCATGCAGCTAATAAGTAGAAGAACCAGCCGCTGAACCTAGGAAATCTAATTCCAGGGTTTGTGAGAATAGTGGTGAAAAGGTAAATGAGTTTGATACCCCTGGCATAGAAGAAAGGTAAAGAATTAAATAAAAATACAAGGCAAACTCTAGGTAAAGGAAAGACAAGGAAGGCCAGATTTCCTTCTCCCTTAAGGCAGTATCAACTATTTCCCTAAAATGCAGGTATTAGCTACATATTTTTTGGGGGGGATAAATCCTTTAAGAAACAGCTTAAAAGATAATTAGATGTACACTAAACCTTACTAATATTACTAAATGTTAATTTTTAAAATACTATACCTTTTAAAATAAGGATGAAGTAAATTATAGCTACAATTAGACATATTTTTTCATTAACCCTTAACTATGTTGGTTCCTGTTGTCTCACTTGTTTAATCATAGTTTCAGAGAGAAAATAGACCTTAGCTTTTTTTTTCACCTCTTTGATTTTTTTTTATTAAAAACATCAAGTTTTATCCATATAGTTAGGTAATGCAACTTCACAAAAGTTCACATCCTCCACTTCTCAGCTGAAAATGATATTCTATTAGTTTTTTCTTACCCTTACTTAGCTACTTTCAGGGTAAGAGTAAGATCTGTCACCTTTCTAGCACACTTTTCTAAAAAGTTGAGTTTTCTTCCTCAGACAGAGAGGGGAAAATTATTGTCATATAGGTATGCTTCTGCCTACTTTTGCCCTATCCTGTATTTCAAGTTCCCACTATTGCGAACTGTAAATTTCATATTCATGTCCCTATGATTTGATGCTCTAGTTCTAATGAAAAATACTTTACATGTGTTTAGGAGTCTTTAACGATATACATTTTTTTTTTACTCTGCATTGGGTAGTAGTTTTGCTATGATTTGATGCTCTAGTTCTAATGAAAAATACTTTTCATGTGTTTAGGAGTCTTTAACGATATACATTTTTCTTTACTCTGCATTGGGTAGTAGTTTTCCTTTGAAATCTGAATTAGACATGGATTAACTCCATTGGACAGAAAGTGAGCCCTGAAGAGGTTCAGTGCTCCATCCTATTGGGAGTCAGGCTAGGTAGAGAACTCAGAACTGCAAAACACATGTAGGTAGCAACATGATGGACGTGTCAGGACAAGGAGACGAGTTATTGGGGGCCAGGGGACATAGAACACAAGTACACAATTTTATTGTTGTTGTTAATCTTCACTTGAGGATATTTCTTCCATTGATTTATAGAGAGTGAAAGGGAGGAAGGGAAGGAAGGGGGGGAGAGAGAGAGAGAGAGAGAGAGAGAGAGAGAGAGAGAGAGAGAGAAAGGAATATTGGTGGGAGAAAGAGGCATCAGTTGGTTGTCTCCCACAAGGCCCCAACCAGGATTGAACCAGAAACCTAGATACATGTCCTTGACCAGGAATCAAATCCACAACCCTTTGGTAATGCACTGACACTCTCACCACTGAGCCAAACCAACCAGGGCTACATCCCTTTTTAGGTAAAGTTTATATTAGAAAGTTATGGTCACTGTTATAGTTGTTGGTAATGAACCAAATGTCTTTACCATGCATAGTAATTATTGTCCACTTCACCATAACTCTGATCTTCTCTGATACTCCTACAACCAGATATTGACATGTGCTGATTTTTTGTGTCTATTAACTACCATGCTGGAGTCTGTGAACTAACTTTCTTTCACCTCTGCTTTCTAGTTTGTGCCTTTCAGGGATTATATCGACAGAAGCGGAAACCACATACTGAGCATGGCTAGACTGGCTAAGGATGTCCTAGCTGAGATCCCCGAGCAGTTTCTCTCTTACATGAGGGCCCGAGGAATCAAGCCATCGCCGGCGCCTCCCCCATACACCCCACCTACACACGTGTTACAGACTCAGATATGACTGTGCTCGAAACGTTCGTGTTAACTACATGTCAGTTGGAACTGCTGAGTCAGGCTTGGTCCTGGTGCTCTGTAAGGAACCAGGGAATGGAACCGTTCTCCGCTTGGCTTCAGCAGTCCTGGTTAATAGGCTTTCTGGGATCCAAACTTATTCTCTTCCTAAACCAAAACTGTAAATATGGTTGTTGCATGAGCAACAGAAACATTGTTTGAATGCTTGAAGCAAAATATGGATGTCTTCTCTGAATCTTTACCTTTTTCTTTTCTTTTTTTTTTTTTTTTTTTTTTTTTTTTTGACAGAAACAGCTAATTTCCAATGTGTTGTTGGGAAAAAGCACAAACTCTGTTTTTAACTCAAATATTGTCCTCGACTGCTGTGTGTATTGGGAAGCAGTCTCTCTGTATCAATGTTTACATGTTCCTACTTTTTAAATTTCAATACTTTTATAACTGTTCTTAAGAATAAGAGTTTTGAATATTGAATCCTTTGTCTTCTAAATTGCAATAGCTATCATTACAAGAGCAATATCTCTTTGAATGACTGTCTGGACAAATACAGTCGCAAACAAAGGAAAGGAAAGATACTTTCATATTTCTTCCGTGAGTGAGTGGTCTTACGAAGCTGCACATGCTCAGTAGTCAGTTCCTCTGCATTGGCCAAGGATGGGAGTTCAGCTCAGCAGGTGTGTATCCTGTAAGAACATGCATTTTCCATGGAGTTTGGGTTCTAAATTTAGACTGCAGTCAGCTTATGTTTTGTGCTGCTCAGTAGACATTTTTAAAAAGTCAAAACGTTGTGAACTGTAAATGCACAGAAAATACTGTGTGTTTGTGTAAAAAGTAGCATCTTTATATTATAATGCTATTTAGAAAGACTAAAACCCAAAATATTTAACTGTGAACCATGTAGCAGAAGTTTTAAAACTTTTTATTCCATTATATCTTGTCTAGATATTTTAATTCAAAGGGATACTGTCTCTCTTTCTGGTTTCCTATCACCTTTCCACGTTGCCACACAGGGTGCACAAGCTGGAAGTTTTTTTGTGAAATTCCCAGTGAAATATACACAACCATGTGACTTAGTGCACAACACATTTGTGAAATAACCTACTCCTATATACGAATTTGCCTGTCCACAATTAATTGTGAAGAGTTTTTGCACGTACAGTTTTTACAAGAATTACAGTTTTGTGATGTTGTGTCCAAATTAAAGCATTTCTTTAGAACAAATGGCCTTAAATTCTCACAGAATTCCTGGAAATGATTGTGAATTGCCTTCAAATAATAGAAAAGTGTATTTATTTATTTTTTTCTTTTGTGTCAACAATGTAACTGCTTTATAACATTTTTCCTTACTTATATATTTACTACTTGGTTTATTTTTACTGTATGTTGTTCTCTTTGTCCCAAGTTGACTTAGGGTGACTTTTATAAGCATGAAACTATTTTACTGAAAAGAAAAATATATACATCCACATATCTAACAGTATCAATATTATATAATTATGTAATATTAAAGTGTCCATTTTTAAGTATGTATTAAAATCTTTAAAAGGATAACTATTTGCTCTGTAAATTTTATTCATAATGACATGGAGTCTGATGACCTCCTTCACTGAGCTTAAATATTTATGCCAGTATAGTTTATTAACCTACATATTTTTTATGTATCTTCATCAGTCCAAAATAACAAAAATAAATGAAATCAATATTATTTTTTTCTTTCTTTCTTGTCAAATATCAGTGATTTTTTCCTTTGAATTGATAAGCGAAAATGAAAGATGTGCCCTTTCTTACCTAAATAAGTGTGCCCAAGCCTAGCAGGGGTAAATGGCTAAGCATGGGGAAATCTCAGTTACAAATCTATCTTTTGTAATAATTATCAGAAGCCTAGATTATGTTAGTTCTGTGGGTAAGATTAGTAAATACCTAGTCTTGTCTTGCCATTGCCTAGAAGATGAAACCAAGACTGAGGGGCGGAGAGGTTTATCCAAGACTGCATAACTAGAGCAGACTTTGTTACCATTGTGAAAATACTGGTTATGACGCCCTAAATGTTGTGAAAGTTGCCGTTAGGGGCTATGCAATGACAAATGCCACAGAAGATTACTTGCCATTGCTGTGCACCTCACTCCACCTTCCCACCCAATATTCCTTCATTGCCTGTGCTAATACCTGAAAGTTATGTAAAAACCGGCAACAATAAAAAATATACTTAAAAATGAAAAAAAAAACCAGCAAAAACTTTCATTCCACAGAATATAGGGAGGTGCTGAGATGAAAGACTTGTGAATTCTAAAAATTAGACATTTTATAAACATACTCATGTAAGAGTTTGCACCAAGTTGTTGTTGCTGCTGTTTTTCTAAATGGCTTTTCTTCATTAGATCTTTTCTTAAGCTCTCCCTTCCCTTTGATAAGGGAGGACTTGAGTACAAAACGGCTAGAAAGGGCTTCTTTGGAAGATGTGAAAGGGAAATTGAGAGAAACAGCAGTCCAAGCCTGGGCTACGTGTCCACTCTTTTCATAGATGGTCATCCTGACAATGTTCATAACTCAGATTTCAGTCTCACAACCAGAGTAAGGACCCGCCAAGTAGAAGTGTTTTTCCAATGGAGAGTAGGGTAAATACCTATATTAAAATTATTTTTTTACATTGATGTGACTCCCAACAATTCTTTTCATACAGTAAAATGTTTTACTGTATGAAAATATTTGTATGTACTTTAAGAAAAAAAATGCGAACATAATAAACAGAAGTCTCCAAACAGTGTTCTAATATATATCACAGAACTCTGAACAGTTTTAAAGGAAACATCTTCAAATCTCATAAGGAAGGGTTGTTGCTTATTTCACACTTTATTAAACCACCCTGATCCCATCACCTGGCATTGTTCTTACTTCCCGCGTCTTGGAGATGCTCTGACTACCAAAATCTGAGAGCATGGCCATTGAGGTCTTAACATGGAAAGAGCAAAAACAAACTGTTCTAAAGATTTGCTCATTTAGTTTCAAGCAATAGTGGCCATGACCTCATGATTTTCTCATCACAAAGTTATTCACTAATTTAATTTCCATGAAACAGGCTGCTGAGCATTCCTAATGTATTTAGATAAGCTGATTTCATAGAGATAGAATTTGCTATTAGTCAAAGAGGTCGATATCATTGACCTTACAAATTAGGAGGAAGGAGGAAGGAAGGAATATGCTCAGGGTTGGCTTAAAAATAGCTCCTCTTTCAGAGATCTTCATCTTACGAAATAAGTTAATGGAAATTATAACACAGATTCAGTTATTTTGACAGAGAACAAGTTTGGTAACTCAACATTTCTACAAAAATAATTTTGACAAACGCTAAATAAAACACCTTTTATTTAGTTATCAATTTTATTATTAAAACATTAAAAAAAAAAAGCCCTACCGGTTTTGCTCAGTGGATAGAGCATCTCCCTGTGGACTGTAGGTTCCCAGGTTCAATTCCTGTCAAGGGCACATGCCCGGGTTGCGGGCTCCATCCTCAGTGTAGGGCCTGTAGGAGGCAGCCGATCAATGATTCTCTCTGTCATCATCGCTGTTTCTATCTCTCTCTCTCCCTCTCCCTTCCTCTCTGAAATCAATAAAAATATATATTTTTTAAAAACTTAAAAAATATTAAAATCCGAATGTACTTAAAATTAACAAAATTGACTAGTCCATCATTTCAACAATAGCAAAAGACATATTCCATAATTTAGAGATGAGCAGATTTGACATGCACTTTAGAAAATAACTGCACCAGAAGATTTTTAAAAAGTCGGGAGCCCAGCCCTGGTTGGGCATCGTCCAGTGCACCTAGAGGTTGCTTGCAGGGCACATGCCTGGGTTGCGAGCTCAATCCCCTGTAGGGGCTGTGTAGGAGGCAGTTGATTTATGTTAGGCTCTTACATCAATGTTTCTCTCTTCTTCCTCTTTCTAAAAAATCAATAAACTTATTTTTTTTAAAGTAGGAAGCTCTGATAAAACAGCAACAATCACTAAAAAACCCTTTGAATTCATTAAGAACAAACTTTAAAATCCCTAAACATTACATGGAGCTACCAAGACTGTCATTGTTGGATTAGGTCATCATATGACAGTCTAGAGAGATGAAGAATTATAGGTACTTTTAATTTTTTATTTATTTTTTGAGAACATATAGTAGTTTTAAATTAATGACTTGAAATCTAAATCCAAAGGATTATATATGTGCTGGGCATTTTTATATAGGCTAGTTATAAAACTTCTAGAAGCTTCACCAGTAGGAAGGAGCATAACTCACTTCACATGCCATAAAATGAGTCAAAAGACCTGAGCTTTCATCTTGACTAACTGATTTGGGCAAAATATCGCTTAAATACATAAACCTAATTTGCATCACTCATTTATTGGGGTGATAATTCTAAAGCTCCTTACAGCACTATCCTGTGGTTCTCTCAATAAAATGTATTTTAATTGGGGCACACTCCGAAGCTTGATGGGAGGAGATTACTTAATGAACTTAATAGACGGAGCTATTCAAGGGCCTTCTGGGAGATTGGTCAGCAAGTGAAAAATCTTAGCTTCTTATTAAAAAGGCAGGTCATTAGCTCAGTCATAACTCCAAACCAGTCACACACTCTCACCATTTTCTTGACCTGAGAACCAGGAGGATAGGGGGAAACGGGAGAACAACCCAGAGTTCCATTGTTCTGTGACTGTCTTTGAGTTTCTTTGTTATGTGCCCTCATGCCTGTGTGTGTCCCTGCTCTTATCCTCCTGTCATTTATTACTTGCTTGTTGTCTGTATCAGCAGGTCATCAGTTGAGTTATTAAAAGTGAATTGAAGGAAAGATTGATCATTAAGAATGTTACATTAGTAACTTAATATTTCAAGATAAGCCTAAATTTCAGTGTATCCAGACAGAGACATCAGTAAAATCTTAAAACAGCAGCACACAATACTTTCCCCATATTTATTCATCCCTCCTGTAAACCAGAACTGTGAAGAGCATGAATAGAGATTAGCAACATCTTTTTCTCCACCTGCTCTCAGGCTAATATACAGTGAAATGGTCAAAAGGCAGGCAGGCAGGCAGCAGGGGAGAAGAGATTAATGAAGCTTTGAGGCATCTGATAGCTATAGGTCCTGACTCAGGATAGTCTGAGAAAAAGAATTCACAAATGACAGGATCTTCCATTTGAAATTGTCTTTGACCAATTATAGTAAATAAAAACAAAACTAAATGAAATAAAACACTTTTAAAACAGGATGTTGCACTACATTCTACCTTAAAAATGAAAGCAATAAGAATTTATATTTTAGGTACTGGAAGAGTGTTCTGTATTCTCACCTTTGAATTGTACCTGTGCATTGTGTATTTCCAAGTGGGTTGTGCATGCGTGTGTGTTGGAGGTGATTACATGCCTTCACTCATGCATATACCTGCATAGATGTGTAGGCAACAGTAAATGTGGGGACAGTAAACAAGGACAGAAGAAATGATGATGCTTACAAGCATTTACTGTCTTTCCTAGTGCTGGTTATCCATCCTGGGGGAAGTACTCAGGCCTGCACAAAGTGTGGACAAGAGCACAGAAGGTTAGAACTTTGCAACTGCATTTGTAATAGGATGGGTTGACTTGCAAATTCTATGCTAATATTTACAATTTTTAATGTATTCTTGCTTCTGCTTAGGAACAAGGGAAAAGGATTTGATTAATATGAATTTGGCTGTGGAGAAGAAATGTGGAGACATGTAGTTATTATATATTTGTGTTTTAGTTCAGAAATCCACCCACCAGTTGATGACTAAACTCCATTTAACTTTCTAAGAAGGAATACATAAATATTCCAAATTTTGCCTACATCTGATCATCTATTTCCTATAACTATTTTCTAAACTATAGTGATGACTTTGGTTTAGCATTTAATCATGTACAAAGCACTGTCTCACATGAAACCTCTGTCCACACCTGTCAAAATTCTGCTCATCTACCTAGCCTCAACTCAAATGCTGCTTTCAGCAAAACTTTCCAGCACTCCCTGAAGTACTTGGAATCAATGTCTCTTTTTCTCCAGCCTGTAGAAGATCCGAATAGCCATTCTTCCTCCCTACTGGTAGACCATGTTTGCAGTGGGGAGGTCTTACTGCTATAACATTCTATTCCCTTCTATAATGAAAATTCCCTAAAGACAAATAATATATTTTTGTGGGAAGAGGACGTAAGGAGACTGAAGTGTCAAGAAAAGAAATTGACTAACGGGTATCTGATTTGAGGAATAGTAGAGTCAAGATTCAAAATTCATTTATCCATTCATTCAAATATTTATTGAGTTTCATGCTACTGAAATGGTGAAATATAGCACAGGAAAAACTAAGGCCTTACATAGGTACACTATCACCTGACATCAAAAAATATGAACGAGAATTCATTTGCATTTTCTTCCTTCTTAGTTTATAAGCAAACATGGAACATTTCAAGATCTGCACTCTGTTCATCTGTCTAGCCCTTATAATTTTATCTCTCTCAGCTTTGATACATGCTTCAGCCACACTGAACTACTAGCTGTGTCACAAGGGGTCATGGTATCTTTTATTTGTAGGTTCATTCACATCCTCCACTCTCCATCATTTCCTTGAGGATGTTTCCCTGAGCCTGTCAGACTGGGACAGATGTCCTTTGTGTATGCTCCTTCAGGGCCCAATGCTCACACTC